CCCCCCCCGGCCTTCTTTCCCCGTGTCAGCCTTACCTTGGTTTTTTTGACATCGCATTCTTGAACGGCCACAACAAGGAACCGCTCAAACGATCCAAGGAATTGTGTGGGGGATGGAAGGAGGTGCTTAAAACAGAGAAGAATGAAGAAGTTGACAGCTATATCCGCGATGAGAATTATCAGGAAATATCCGAAACATTTGTTTCAAAGTTTTACTAACAAAACAAAAAAAAAAAGTAGCTAATCGACGTCTACAACAAAAGTAACACAAAGCATAACTACATTACGCATAAAAAATAATTACCGCAACATGAGTTGGGCCAGTTTCGTGTGGCCATGGATGTGAATGAGAGCAGCTATTATCGTGATGATGATGATGAGAATGATCGCCGCCACATGCAGCAGAAGATGAAGAAATGCCACCAATTGAAACTCCTCTTGTTACACGTGATGGAATTTTGTACGTTGGACATAGGGCTCGTATCCGATGGAAAAATGTTTCTTTTTCAACCTACAAAATATAAAAAAAAAATCAGATATTTTTTATATATATAACCAAAAAAGTTATTGAATACAATGATCATGGAAAGTCAAGTTGGAACCAAAAAAAATGCTTCTTTTATAAAAATAAATTTAAAAAAAAGGTTTTTGATAAAACAAGATCAAAAAGTCTACAGTCATCTCGCAATTTTTTTGTACTCGGAAGTAGCTTTAGTGATAGCAAATGCCAACAGCAACCATTCGCTTGCCTGAGAAGGCTATCACAGAAAATACCCTAAAAAGCAGGAATCTAGAGTAGAAGTTTTTTTAACAAGCATTCAAAGAAATTATTACTTGAACAGAGGCCTGTGATATATTGGCAGATTTTAATATTTTGATCGCTTTCTGTCGTACAATTTGGTCATTCGCATCATCGGTTACTTGAATATGAAGCGATGCAACATTCAAAACTGATTTCAGCTGCCAGAGATGCACATTTGAGTAGGATAAAACACCTTCGATACTCATAATCTGCAATTGCAAAATCATGATTTTCAAAAAATCAAGAAACTTCCGAGTTCAACTTTTTACGATTATCACCCTGAACTAAAAAAGCTGCGAATTTTTGGCTTATTTCTTTATTCTATGAAGCTGAGAACTTTCCCAACTACCCTGATCGATATTGCCCAGTGGCCAACCAACTGACCATTTATAGATTTGTTTGGGCTTTCAAGGACTTCTCTAATTCAACAGTACTTCCAACAGAAACATTTGGCAACGTTTTATCATTTCAGGCAGTCCTGGGTGGGAGTGCAGTGTATCACCACTTTCTCAATAAAACGCTGCCATTCCTGACCACAGTGAGGTATCTTACGGAAAAGATGACTACCATCATGGCTCACTGTTTACTAATTTCATAGGCCGATCTTGGGCGGTCTCCTGAGGTAAAGAGGGAGGGGAGGAGAAAGTGGTCTTCTGGTGGGGTGATTATCGAGGAGAGGAAGGCGATGAGGCTCCTGGGAGATAATCGATGATGTGAAAAGAGTTTTCTTCAATTTTATCATTGCTGTCTGTACCACAGAGCGGGGGCTGGGAGATGGGGAAAAGAGTGCTTATGATTACAAACGCTG